ATTGTCTGCATCAGTTTTGGATTCTATAATGTTTCTAAAGAATTAAAGGAAAGCAGAAGCCTATGGACACAAGATGCAAATCTTACTAATCCAACTTTAATAATAATAATAATAATAATAATGACTGTGGCAAAAGCAAGCAAGGGTAGTACCAATAGTCATAGGCTCCTTGGGTGCAATCCCAAAACAACTGGAGCACCATTTGAACACCATTGGCATTGACAAATTCGCTATTAGTCAATTGCAAAAGGCGGCCTTATTAGGAACTGCTTCCATCCTGCGACGATATCTGTAATACCATCAACATCCACATCTGCCTATCCCAGGTCCTGGGTAAGGACTCGATAGGTAGACAAAATGCCAAATCCAGTCTGAACATCTGGCTGACTGTGCGATGATCAATAATAATAATAATAATAATAATAATAATAATAATAATAATAATAATAATAGTAGTAGTAGTAGTAGTAGTAGTAAAGTTGGAAGGGACCTTGGAGGTCATAGAGTCCAACCCCCTGCTCAGGCAGGAAACCCTATACTATTTCGGACAAATGGCTGTCCAGTCTCTTAAAAACTTCCAATGTTGGAGCATTCACCGCTTCTGGAGGCAGGTTGTTCCACTGGTTAATTGTTCTAACTGTCAGAAAGTTTCTCCTTAGTTCCAGGTTGCTTCTCTCCTTGATGAGTTTCCATCCGTTGCTTCTTGTCCTGCCTTCAGGCGCTTTGGAAAATAGCTTGACACCCTCTTCTTTGTGGCAGCCCCTGAGATATTGGAACACTGCTATCATGTCCCCCCTCGTCCTTCTCTTCATTAAACTAGACATACCCAATTCCAGCAGCCATTCCTTATGTGCTTTAACCTCCAGTCCCCTAATCATCTTTGTTGCTCTTCTCTGTACTCTTTCTAGAGTCTCAACATCATTTTTTACATTTAGATAGATTGCTCTTGAAAGGTTAGCTATACATATATTAAAATGAAAGATACCAATAAATCTTATTTCAGAGATTTATTTACTTGCATATATTGTGATAGGGCAGCGTAGTGGCTCAGCAGGTAAGACACTGGGCTTGTCATCTGGAAAGCCAGCAGTCCAGGTTGGAGACCTGAGCGACACACTATAGGGTGAGCTCCTGTTCTCGCCCCAGCTCCTGCCAACCTGGTAGCTCAAAAGCATGTAAATGCAAGTAGATAAATAGATACCACTTTGGTGAGATGGTAACAGCACTCTGTGATATTAAGTTGGCCACATGTCTTTGGGCCGCACTGACTCAATGGCCTTGAAACAGAGATAAGTACTGATTCCTATAGTTGGCAACAGCTGGCAGAGTAAAATCCGTAGGGCCTCCTATGTATTGTGATAAATGCATTATGAATTCTTCAGCGGGAACTTAAAGGCTCTTTTCTCAAAAAATGTACTTGGGTTTTTCAGAAGATCTTTTTAATACGATACATTAAAGCCTAAATCCTATGTTGATCTGGCATATCTTGGTGAAACATTTTTTGCCATCAAACAGTATTAAGATTTATTTTGAACACTCTTTTTATGTTAGTTGTCTTATTGTTAGGCTTTGTCACAAAGTTCTAACTTTGTATATAACTAGTAGCAACCAACTTTAGAAAACAGCTATTGGCCTCACTTGGAGAAAATGACAAGATGAGTGTGGTCAGTTGCCTTAGCTGAAAAGTTTTGACACATTTATAGCTGTTTGGTTCTTTTGTGTCACGTATGCTTATGAAAAGGATGGTCCACTTCTAGTGGTTGCTACATTCTGGAGAAGTGGATTTTGTCACATAAACATGTTTCTTACTTGCTTGGGTAACGTTTAGGTCTTTGCAATTATATTAACAAGATAATGAAGTTAATTTAAAAACATACTGTAAATCCACTTCAGCAAAACACAATTGTTACATTCATGTTATATGTTATGCCCAAACAAACCATATTATCTTATACTGTAACATGATGCCTTACTTTGTAAAACATGCTAAAGCAGCATCTGGGTTTCCATACCTTATTGCACCTCAAACTAGCTTAGCTGCTGTGCAAACTCACCCAGTATTTTAGATGCAGCTCCCAATAAAAGTGCTAAGTGATTGATGCAACCTCAGACATTTAATCTTCCCTTGCCTGTGTGTGTTGTGTGCACGCGCACCTCTTCCCTTTGTGCATAAACTCCCTGTTTTCACCCATGCCAATTCTATATTGCTAAAAATGAAGTTCTAGGTCACAAAAACGACTAAAGTCGGTCAATTTAAAATTGGGGATCAACATTGGAAAAACAGCAACCCTCACACATTGAGTGGAAAAATCTTCAGAGTGCTTGATGTGGGGTTGTGGTTTTCAAAATTTCCACTTTGGATTGAGGAAGAAAACAAGCTCGGAATGACTATGCCCATTTCACGCAACTCCGAAAGTGCCAAGGCAGCGGTTTGGGCTGTCTGACCCTCTAGAAATGAGAGAGTTGCGCTGCAGGGACAGGAAGGGAAAGTAAGCCATGGCTGGGTCACGGGGCTCAGCTTCGGGAAGACCATGGGATGTGGTTAGCCACAGGCTGCACGCAAAGCAGGCGCAAGAAAGCAGGCGCAGACCTGTTTGATACGTCCAGGGAGGTGTTTGATCTTCTTCACAGCAAAGATTGTTTGGTTCCTTTTCTCCTGACCAAACGGCGCTCATAGATTTGTGGGAGGCCTATGCTTCCCATATTTTCTTCCACAACTGTGGGAGTTTTACATTTTGAGGCTCCAAAGTTGCATGACCCGTTACATGATTTTTCTTAGAAGGGGAAAATTATTAAATACAAGGAATATCACTTGCGCTTCATAAATATAAGCTTGAATTAATTGTAACTTTAAATGAAATCATTTTAGCCTTTCTGCTGGCCTCATCCATTTGTTGTCCTAGCTCCAGCCACTGTGCCAGTATGGTGCTCCACCCAGCCATGACCAAGTATGGCCCCAGACCTCAAAATATTAGATGCCCCACATCTTTATCGACACAGACGGTTACTGCTATTTAACATAGAAATGTACTTGCATTTCTTATTATTGAAATAAACCTAAAAGACCACAAAAATCTTTTCTAAAAGGAAGCTTTGATTCTTAGCAGACTTTTTAAGCAGAAGGCTTTTTCCCTCAGTTCTCCAAATAGAACTCATGAGAAATTCACTAGACTAGGGATGTCTAACCTCAGCAACTTTAAGACTTGCAGCTGACAGGGGAATTCTGGGAGTTGGGAGTCCATTAGCCTTAAAGTTGCCAAGGTTGGACATCCCTGCGCTAGACTATAATATTCTGTGAGTAGAGAGATTACAAATGTGGCAATTTTATCCCACAGCATCCATCACTCTTTTGTGGTCAGGGCCCTGGAAGGTGTCGGCCAACACTTTTGTGGCCCATGGGTGGTATCTAACACATGATTGCTTCTCTATGTGGTAAAAATGCTTGTTTCACAATTGCAGCCATCCTCCCTGTTGTGCTGCTGTTGCTGCTGCTTCTGCTGCTACAAAATCCAGGCAGCTGCCTTCCAACCATCTTTGGCCAGGTGAGAACAGTGCAATGGCTTCTCCAAGGCAGCACCATCAGCATCAGGAAGGGGGTGCAATATCTCTTAAGCTCAATGGCTGTGTTCACACAGCATATTTAACCAGGCTAATTTATTTATGTATTTATCAAATGTTTATGCCACCCATTTAAAATAATAAATATAAACATTAAAATTGAAAGAGAGCTAAGGAAGGGAGCCAGGTGTAAATGGGGTGGAGGTAGAATCGTCTCTCAGTCTGTTAGCCACCTCCAGTATGACACCACCACTCCCTGTTTTCTGCATTCAAATAACATTGACCAATAAATTAACTAGAGACTGGTCCTAATTCTGAATACAATAATTATCCATGAGTACTATGCAAGAAACCTGGTAAGGTAAGGTGTCCTCCCTGGTCAGAGCAATATTTTAGCTATCTTTACAGGGCCTAGACCCCAGACACCTTCTTTTTATAAAATAAAATCTTGTAGTAACCCAATTGCAATAACCTCCTGGGACTCTTATTTATACATATTTATCTTACATATATCTTATTTCATCTTACATATTCCCATAAGTAATAAAAAAACTTCAAGAGCAGCAGATGCTTCAGCTCTTTTTATAGTTGCTCTTGGATTCTCTTGTGAATTTTTGAGGTCAGAAGTTAAACTTAGCTGAGCTCACCACCCAAGTTTGAGTTTAAACAACACCTAAAGCCATGGTTAAAGAAGGAAAAGTGTCTCCCAGGTAAGGCACTTCTGTTTAGCCACAATATAATCCAGGGTCCAAATTGGATATCACATTATTTCTGCTTTCCCACAACACCCCTAGCCTGCTTGCTGAATTAATTCATTTTTCTGTTTGCATGATGTGTTTCTTAGCCAGTTGAAAGAGTTCCTCAATGATTCTGGGGAGATTATTGTTTCTTAGCTGAATACATGTTTGAAAGGAAATAATATTGTATTCTCAAATTGTATTCAAATTGGACTGCCTTTTTATAGAGATGGGGAAGAGATAGCCTTAGGGCAGGGGTCCCCAACCCCCAGTTCATGGACCGTCACCGGGCCATGGCATGCCAGCAACCGGTCTGCACAAAGTCCACTCCGCGACATGCAGGCAGCACACAAAACCACACCCCTTTGATCCATGGAAAAATCTGTCTCCATGGAACCGGTCCCTGGAGCCCAAAAGGTTGGGGACCTCTGCCTTAGGGGATGCAAGGAGGTAATGAATGCTGCATATTGATTTCTGTTTCTATTGTGGAATATCTACCTGGGCTATATAAGTACTGTAAATCCTAATGTTTTGGGACTTTCATAATTCCATAACTCTTGATTCTATGGAAATAAAGTAAGGCATGAAAAATAAAGTACATGCAAGCAGATTGAATCTTTGGCATGAATGCCTCTTGTCAAATTTGGAATGTTTTTGTAGAGTATCCAACAGTCCAACTGACTAGGTCTCTTTTTTGTTCTCCAGATTTCTTCTCCAGCCCTCGGCCAGTGCCTGCACAACCCCCCCTGAGCTACACAGATCAGCCTTGCTTTGTGCCAGCACCAGACACCCTTTTTGATAGTGGTGGTAGCAACCTTCTTCCCAGCCCATCCAATGCCTTGCTTCCCACAGGCTCTGCCAGTTCTCCTGTCTTGAGCAGCCCTCGTCTTCAGGTGTGCAAGGTTGATGGTCATCTGTTTTTCCAATGCTCTATCCTAGGTTTTGATTTAGTTTTGGGGCCCATTCTCTCCTTTTGTATTTTTCAGCCGTTTCCAACCCAGTCTGGCTTCAGCATAGGGTTCCTGCTGTATCAAGACTCAAGAGGGAGACATTTGTCCATTTTCAGGAATTCTCAGTATAAACTGAACAGTGGAATAATGAACAGATTCAAGTGCAAAGTATTATTTGGATGGGGAAAATAGGTTGAAGATCAAGGATCAATTCTTGCCTGTTGCACCCCTAGTAATGGGATGGACTCCAACAGAGTATGTAGACTGGCAACAATTTGGTGCTCTAAATATGAATAATCCACCCCACTATTATTTCCCACTTGTAAGATTCAGATCCACAGTACTGCATGATAAGCTCACAAATTGCCAGTCATGATTCTATTTTACTTAGTTTGGCTGATTTTACAGTCCAAATCAGAAGAATATCCTAAGTGCTAAATAAACTTGCAAAGGCCAAACCCAAAGATTGGGTTTCTAGAGGTCAGATAGAATTTGGAGTCTTCCCCTTTTTGACTTTGTGCCACTTTCCCCTTTCTCTGGTTGGCTATCCACTTCAACAATGAGATGGGAGGATTTTTTAATTAATGTTTTTTTGCTGCTGCAGCATCTTTCTCCTCTTTTTTCTTTTTCAGTCTGCAGGTGGTTGCCCAGCTCAGCTTGGTTCACCTGGTGCTTTCCTCAGCCCTGAGCTCCCTCCCATTCCTTCCCCCTCAACCTCCCCCAACAATTTTGGTCCTGATCGCAAGCAGAAGTCCCTGCTTCCCTACACACTCCCCAACAAATGGCTTAGCCTTGACCACTATGGCCCTTATTGTCCTGCCCCCCTCTCCAGAGCCCCTTTGCTGGGACAACAGCCAGCATGTCCACCACTGTCAGCCCCTTGCTCCAAGTTCCACTACCCATCTGCCCCTCTCTTTTCTTGTCCTAATTCCCCATCCCTCTCCACAGCGTGTTTTTCCCCAAATATACCAGGTTACAATGTAGACTTGCCTTCTGGATACCATTCTCCCTTCAGTGCATCACATCTGCTCCCTAGTTTGCCAAGCAGCCCTACTTCTGGCATGGCCAGAGGACAGCCTCGGTCTGGAAGTGACAGGCCCAAGACCAAGGGAGCAACCGTCAAGAACAAGAGGTCCCCAAGACTTCCTGTCCCGCCACTTGCTGCAACGATATCTGACCAGAGTCTGACAGAGCTGCTGATCACAGGTAGGAGTATGAGGCAAAATATTTCCTGAGGGGGTTTGCCAGACCAGAAATGCATTGGGATTAAGACTGCAAGGTCTAATTAAAGAATAGCTTGCATTCAGATTTTTCAAAAAAATCTTATTCTCATTTTAGTTATTTAACAGCTTGTTCAGATTAGTTTAAAGCACTGGGTGAGATCCAGAGTTAGACATATTTAAAGGAGATGTGACATGAATCATGCAAAGTCCAGTGACTTACTGGTTTTAAAATAAAATATAACATTTAATATCAATTAGGTATCACTGAATCTAAGCATGAACCTGGATCTATTCCATTATTGTTATTAATATGTATAACATCGCAGAGAAAAGATGTTGCATTAATTGTGCTGGAAAAGAAAAGGCAGATATTCCTCTTCCAACATCTATACTGCATGCATTTTGCTTGTTTTTTTCTTTTAAATGCTTGCCATGCAAACTGATTAGTGACCAAAAATAACATTTCTCACATATCAATCCATGCACAGTTTCTTTAGCTGGACACAATCCTGTTCCTTTTGTACCGTATGTTTAGGAGGTTGCCAAGACATGTTTGATTCACTTAGTTCTACAGATAAGTCAGCAATTCAAAGAGAAACCTTCTGTGCTTTGGACTTTTAATTGCCAGAGTAGCCAAAGTCCTATTGGGTATTTGGGGGACCGTGGAAGCAATGCATTTGGAAGGTATTGTGTATGCTTTAAAAATGATTTGGAAATATTGTTTTGTACTGTTTTGTTTGAGCAAAGCATCTCTTTTACTGAATAATAAAAAGATGCTGGGCTTATATGAAAGCATCCAAAGCATTTCTTCCAAAGCATTGTCAAAACACCCAAATTGCTTATTTTTTTCAAAGATTGAATTCTATTGAACTTTCATTTTTATCGCGTACTGTCAAATCAATACAGACTTATAGTGGTTTACAAAAGAGTTAATGAAAACATGCAACAGTTAAAACATGCAATAAACATAAAACAGTATATATATATATATAAATGAATTAAAGCAACTGATAACTAAGTTTCAGGAACACAAAGATAAATGTATTATTAATAAGATTAATTCTGATGGACATGTAGAAGATTGCAATCTTTTCCTAGTCCTGAAATATTTTTTACAAGTAATAGATTGATTTGACCGGTTATTTTACTAGTTACTGGCTTAGCCAATGAATTTATAGGAGAATCCATTTAAATTGTAGATGACTCCTCTGCATTGTTTGCAGACTATTTTGTGTTGGTCAAAGAAGTGCAAAGTCCTGAAACTGACTAGCCCATCTTTGCATGTAGTTGAAAGTATAATGGAAAGGACTTAGTTCTTGAACTTCTGTAGCTTGGTGGCAGAGAATTCTGTTTCCAGTGTCATCCCAGGTGTCAGCCGTGCCAGATAGTGCAGAGAAGTAGCACATCCAGGAGTACAAGCTCTGTCTTTACTGCAAGGTTACATTAACAGAATCTTGCAGGTGTGAAAATACTCCTCTCCCCCCACCTCACCTTTGCACAAGAAACTAGGGAGGATCCTTTCTGTGACCTTTGCCATGCCCACATTCCTTCTGCAGACTCAGCCGCCTCTTATTTGTCCATTGCCTAATCTGCTGCTCTGTTTCCTAAAGTCATTTCCACCTTCCATTATATCAGGGCAGTCTTGGCTCCTCCCCCCTCTCTTCACGGAGGGTTTCGGGGAACTTCACAGCTGTCACACTGCTCTCCGTAGCCAAACCCTTTTCTCAGTCTCCAGCTTTTGATGGCTGTATCTTTGACTGAACAAATTAAAAAACAAAACAGAGAAAAAAACAAAACAAAACCCTAACGCTTCCTGCCATCTAGTGCTTGAACAACTGACTAGTCGAACCAAAGTTAAAAAGCATTCATTTAAAGTTCAGCTCACTGTGTGATAGAAAAGAAAAAGGGAAAACATAATAGTGCATGCAATAAGCAGACAGTTGTGCCTAGAGTTGGGAAGAGCCGTTCCATGTGGTAGATGATTAACAGATTGACAGAATGACAGAGTTCGAAGGGACCTTGGAGGTCCTCTAGTCCAACCCCCTGCTCAGGCAGGAAACCCTGGCCTATAGCATTTCAGTCAAACGGTTGTCCAATCTCTTCTTAAAAACCTCCAGTGATGGAACATGCACAACTTCTGCAGGCAAGTCGTTGCACTGATTAATTGTTCTCACTGTCAGGACTGGGATTTGAACAGAGGAAAGCATCAGTCACATCCCCTAGAAAGGCACATGTTAAAAGTGGAGGGGCAGCAGGGCAGTACACACCTGCTTTCACAGTACAGTAAAGATGCCTGTTGGGGCAGCATGATTTCCTAATAGCTCTGGAATGAACATGGCAAAGCAGCTGTATGGATATGCCCTAGTGCAGGAGTCGGCAACCTTAAACACTCAAAGAGCCACTTGGACCTGTTTCCCAGAGAAAACACTGGGAGCCGCAAAACTTGCGTGCACATGCGCACGAGGGGGGGAGAGCTTGATTGAAGAGTTTAATTAAAAAGAAATAGAGGCTGCTGTGCATGAGTTCTCTCTCTCTCTCTCTCTCTCCCCCTCCCTCCCTCCCTCTCTTTGTCTCCCTCCCTTTCTCTCTCCCTCTCTCCCCCCCCCCTCCGATCTTCTGCTCACTTGGCAAGCTGGCTTCACGGGCTGTTCTCTGAGAAGCTGACACACATTCTTATTGGGTTGGCTCTCTCCTGCCCTTGGTCTGCCAGCCCTCTTTCCCCCCACTCAGTGTGTGTGTGTGTGTGTGTGTGTGTGTATGAGAGAGAGAAAGAGAGAGAGAGAGAGAGAGAGAGAGAGAGAGAGAGAGAGAGAGAGAGAAGGGAAGTGCAAGTCCTCTCTCTCTGTCTCTCTCTCTGCAAATGGTGGAGGAGGCTGAGACCACAGGAGAAGGCTCAAAGATCCGGATGCGGCTCCAGAACCGCAGGTTGCCAACCCGTGCCCTAGTGGATTGGTGGAGAGACCAAAAGAAACATCTTTTAGATTTTTAGTGGAACACAAGCTTCTCTAGACTCTAGCTAAACCATTAAAAATGGTGTATAAATCACCATCATCTATATAATCCCATTGTCCCGTACTTATTTTGGACACTTTGGTCTAGTGGTTAAAGCACCACACTAGAAAGCTGGACACCATGAGTTCTAATCTTCCTTTAGCTATGAAAGCCAGATGGGTGACTTTGGGCCACTCTCCCTCAACCCAACCCACCTCACTATTGTGAAAAAATAGGAGGAGGATACAAACAAACAAATAAAATACTTTTATCCTGTTTTTAAGGCAATTATTGCCTTTCAAATGGGCACATATAAATGCTAAAAATAATAGTTCCCATCATCAGATTTAATAATGAACACACTCACACAGAGTAAAAAGGAAAGAGAGGTCAGCTCTTGAAATCCAGAACAAGATGACAAATATGCATGCCAACAATCCACTTATTTTTGGATTGTTAGCTGTTCCTGGTCTTAGCTATGTAATAGTTGGTAATCTTTGGCAGTGGACCATTCTCCATTTCAGATCTGTAGCTCTAATGAGTCAGGGTCCCTTCAGGTTCACTCTTTGGACATAGGACAAAAGTAGAGGAATAATTTTCCTTGCCTTTTTCTAGGATGTTATTTTGACTTCCTTGTCTAACATATGGACCTGGTATTCCCTTGAGGTCTCCCCTCCAAGTACTAATGAGGCCTAACCCTGCTTAGCTTTCAAGCCCAGGCAAGGTCGGACAGATGTTTCTGGTTGCTGAGAAAGCTATAACTATAACTGTGTGACAGAGGGATAAAGGGAGCTTTGCTTCTTTCCTGTTGTACAGGTGCTCCACAACACCCAGGGGGATCCATCTGGATGCCTTTTACCTGTTAACTAAGAAAACATCAGTATCTTTCTTTCAGTAACCCAGAAAGACCTCTAGAGAGGAAAAAAAATGGCTGGGTCCATCTCTAGCTAAGGCTCATGCAGATATGCTGTTTGTGGGGACAAGATTCCATTTGGAAGAAAGTTTACACTGCCCTTCCTCCTTAACTATAGCTCAACTGCGCTAGAGTTAAAGCACCCTGAGCACTGATTAAATTGCAAGCACTGTTGGTTGGGTTCACACAACATATTAACCTAGGTTAAAATGAAATTGGGCTATTTGTGGTTCAGCATAATGTGGGAGTGCAGTTGTCAGGATATTGTATGAATCAGACTATCCATTCAGCATGGTTTATCTGCCGCACCCTCACATGTTATAGGGATTGTATTTTGTCATCCTTGATTTTGGCTTATGCGTCTTGTGTGAACCTTGGCGTGCTCTATAAGTGGGTTGCCTGATCTTTCTCTTTTTACAGGAAAAGCAGAACCTAGTTTAGAGGACCTGTCTGCTCCCAGCCACACTGTAGCCTCCACGGCACCTGAGATCCTGGTAGGTGTTGGTGAGAGAATGATTTGGGGGGGGGAGGTTCTTGGGTTTGGAACAGGGTTAAGATAAAGTGCTTCTAGAACTGGGAGGAATGGAGCTGTATCTCACCTGGACAATTTGATACGCTAAAATGTGGGATTTTGGGAGAAAATGAAAAACCATGGTTGATGTTGGAGAATATAATGTTAGACAATTGGAGGGAAAACTGCCATCACCATGAGTGAAATGAACCAATATACATCCCATATCTAGATTGCCAATACTAGCTTTTATTAGAGGAGAAATTGTAACAGAAGAATGGTAGCACTTCTCAGACCAAAAGTCCGAGGTTGTCCAGCTCCTTTTGTCCAACAGTGCCTGGGCACATCTCCCTCTGGGAAATTCATCAACAGAGCTGGAGGCAGATAGCAACTCACTGTTTGTCCAAAGAACTACTATTCCCAGGTACTGTACACTACTTCTGACCATGGAAATTCCATTCATGGCTCTTAGAAATCAGGATTGTAACTAACAGATTTATCTTCCATAAAATCTGTCCCTCTTTCTAGAATAATTTTCAGTATCTGGTGTCAGAAGGTATCATGGACAGCCCTGCCATGTGCCTGATGTTCTCTTGTGCAATGCTAACTTCCCCCCCCCTTCTTTTTTTTTAGCACAACCCATTTGGTGAAGAACCTGCCAGCTTCTTGCCCCGAATAACAGAGCTCAGCCCTCAGCTGTCCCCCATCTCCAGCCCCTCACAGTCCATCCCAACCACCACAGCATCAACAGGTTCATTGCTTGCCCCCAAGATAGAACGTCTCTCCCCCACTCCCATTTGTGGTGAGTCATTAGAATCAGCATCCACAATCAACCAGTAGTTCTATTCAGTGCTTTTTTTCTAAAAAAAAAAAAAAAAAAAGGTGCCGGAACTCACATACGTCATACAACCTGCCTTGCATACTCTACAAGGTTCCATCCCAAAAAGATGCCGGAACTCCGTTCTGGGCGTTCTATGAGAAAAAAAGCCCTGGTTCTATTTATTCTGGACAGTGTCTGCATGCATATATGTTCCATAGCAAATCAGTAATGAAAGAAAGTCTGTGTATGCTCAGAAGCAATTAATAATTGCAGTGATGTTTTCTTCTCTATCCCTCCCCCCCAACAGCCAATAACCAGAGAATGACACAAGGACCCCCTGTCTCCCTTGAGGGGCTAGTTCCATCCCCTCTCTATTCAAGCCAAAATAGGACAGAACCAAGCAAGGTAAGATCATGTTTCCTCAGATAATATTCACCCTCTCCACTCCAGAAATTAGTGAATTGTGAAGCACTAATAAACTCGTAGAATATTTGTAGCTCAGGGTTGAAATAAGAGGTCCTTGGCACCAAGGGCCCCTCATTAATAAACCCCTCTGATTTATCACAGCTTATTTCTCGCTTCATTGGTCTTTCCCTTGCTGTCTTCTATACAGTTTTTAGAAATACATGGTAAGAAAATCAATCGTCTGTGATAGAACCCATAAAAACATACACGTTGTGACTGTGTTAAAAAAACAAAGGGGCAGCCTGAAAATGCACCTGCCTTCTTGCACCCTGCTCCAAATGCTCAGCTTCAAAGGCGCAGTGCAAACCTAAAAATCCCATCAATATCAGGATTGTTCTAAAGTTCTATTTCATCAGTCCTAAAAGAAAACAACTTAGGAGCCTTTCCGCTTTTTCCTTTGTTTTTTTCTATGGAAACCTAGCAGGAAATACATTCCACTAATATGACAATTTGGTGCCAGATTCTGCCAATGTAATTCAGCAGCTACATACAGGTAGTCCTCAACTTATAACCATTCACTTAGTGACTTTCAAAGTTACAATAGCATTGAAAAAAAGCAGTTTTTAGCACCAGTCCTCACACTTACGACCATCACAACCTCCCCATATTCATGTTATCAGAATTTGTGCACTTGGCAACTGGCATGTATTTACAAGAGTTGCAGCAACCTGAACTCATGTGATTGCCATTTTGAGACCTCCCAAGCCAGCTCCTGACAAGCAAAGTCAATGGGGAGAGTTGGATTTGCTTAATGACCATGAGATTCACTTAACAACTGCATGATTTGCTTAACTTGTGGCAAGGAAAGTTGTAAAATTGGCATGATTCACCTAACAACTGCCTTGCTTAGTAATGGAAATTCTAGTCCCAATTGTGGTAAGTTGAGGACTATCTGTATATCTTTGGACTGAACATCTAAGTTTTACACTGAAAATTGCCTTCTTCCCGCCTAGACTGAGAGCCGCAGAATCATCCACATTTCTGCTGAACAGAAACGCCGTTTTAACATCAAACTGGGATTTGATACATTACATGGCCTAGTGAGCACTCTGAGTGCCCAGCCTAGCCTCAAGGTGAGTGCTGATTGGCCGTTCTTGATCCTTTCCAATTTCCTCAGGAGAGGCCACAAAATTATCCTTGCAGTTCTTGACACCATCTTGGAGAATGTGCTTCTCTAGTTTTGTCAGCTATGCTTAATCTGAAGGGTGAGTTCTGCAACCTTCGTAACCCACAACTGGCAGGCAAAGCAGATGTTATAAAGCAGCAAATGTCTAAATGCATTTCCCCTTCCTTCCTTCCTTCCTTCCTTCCTTCCTTCCTTCCTTCCTTCCTTCCTTCCTTCCTTCCTTCCTTCCTTCCTTCCTTCCTCCCACAATGCAGATCAGCAAAGCCACAACCCTGCAGAAAACAGCAGAATATATTTGCAAGCTGCAGCAGGAACGGGCTACCCTGCAGGAAGAAGCCCAGTGCCTGCGGGATCAAATTGAGGAGCTGAACGTTTCCATCAAGTAGGCCTGGCTGGGTCACCTACTGGCTTTCTTTGGCAAAGAAAGGGATTTGGGTGTCTTTTGGTTGCTGAAATGGAGCTCTGGCATGGCAGGGGCATACAGTGAAGGGGGGAGGCACAAGCCACAGGCTCTGGAGAAGGCGGCACCTGGCTTTTGTGCCAAATCCAGGTTTCTCCCTAACTCGTCATTTCTTTCCTATAGCCTCTGCCAGCAGCAGCTGCCTGACACAGGGGTGCCCATCACCCGCCAGCGCTTTGACCAGATGCGACATATGTTTGATGAGTATGTCCGTTCGTGCACCTTACAGAATTGGAAGTTCTGGGTTGTATCCTTTGGGGAGAAGGCTGCTTGAACTCCTGAAAGGGAATCTGCAAAGCTTTGACCAGAATAACAATTCCCTGAAATTGCCAATGATTCAAGTATTTCTTGAAATGATTCAAATGTTTCTTGCACAAGTTGCAAGTGACAGGGTATCTAATTTGCCACTTAGAAAAGGAAGCAAAGAGAAAAAAACAAAGTTGGCTCCTTAACTACTCCTTCTCCATCAGTTCAGCGTCATCATGCGGCCTCTCTTTGAGTCCTTCAATGGGATGGTATCCACCACCAGCCTAGAAAGCCTCAGTCAGACCTCTTTGGCCTGGTTGGATCAATACTGTTCACTTCCGGCATTACGACCCAGTGAGTCATTAACTTCCTTTTTGTTTTCAGTTAGAATGGTTCTGGGTGCAAAGGGCAGAGATTAGGGACTGAATAAAATCAGGAAATAATTTTTAAACCTTGATTTAGCATGGAGCTATTCAAATGCTGAACCAGGACATTGGGTTTAATCTTGGATTCTAAAGCAATTTAAAAAAAGGACATCCAGATTCAATTTCTTCCTTATCTATGGAGCTTATAAGGGACAGTCTCATTTATTAAATACCTCAGTTAGTGACTGTTCAAAGTTATGACAGCGCTAAAAAAGAAGACAACTGTTCCTCAAAGTTGCAATCATTCCATCAGTCATTGCCGACTATAGGGGGTGGTGCTTATCTTCATTTCAAGGCCATTGAACCAGCACTGTCCAAAGACATTTCTGCAGTCATGTGGCCAGCATGACATTAAGGAATGCTAGCGCTATTACATTCCCATGAAAGTGGTACCTATTTATCTACTCACATTTGCATGCTTTCAAACTGCTAGGTTGGGAGGAGCTGGGGCGAGGATAGGGGCTCACTCCATTGTGTGGTACTAGGGTCTGGAATCTGGGCTGCCAGATTTCCAGCCAACAAGCCCAGCGTCTTAACCGCTGTGCCTTCATGCCACATCTATGTATGTATGTATATCTCACATCATTGAAATGCCAAAGGAAAGCGGGATAAACAGGTTTGGGTAATAAAGGAAAACGTTTGGGAAGCATTATTTGAGGGGATTAAGACCAATGGGACATTTCTAAATGTTTAGGATTGTACTATATTACACAAAATGAAGCTCTTCTGGATTAGCATAGCTTTGTTTTAAAATATCTTAAAATATGCTGGAAGCCAGAACGCAGTGTGAATGCTAAACCTAACCCTAATGCCAACAGAAATATCATAACCTTTTCTGGGATAATCTCAGCTTGTCCAATACAGTGCTTTCATCTTTTATAGTAAAAACAAATCATGTTATTTGTGATAGTTTTAATGACAGGATTTCATCTTTTCTTTGATTTTGTATCTTTCCTTTTTGTTTTCTACATCAATTCTTTTTTCAAAGAAAAAAACATTGTTTATTAACATCTTGCTGGCTGAGGAATTCTGGGAGTTAAAGTTCACGCATCTTAAAGATGCCAAGGTTGAGAAACAACATTATAAAGCATAGGAGGATTCAAAAGGAATGTAACAGGATATAGAAAATCCAAGAATAAAGACACTATAGACTGTATGTGAAGTTTATAATATGATTACAAGTATACATTTCATATCATTGGTGCCTTCTGCAGTACTATTTCTTTGGGGAGATATCTTGCTGCACTTTGCATTGGCAAGATTCAATATCTCTGTCCTTAAGGAAGCCTATCAGAGCAAAGGAACAGAAACAATTTTATGGGTGTCTCTTGATTTTACACTCTCTACACATTTTTTCCCTTAGCTGTACTGAGCTCCCTTCGCCAACTGAGTGTTTCTACTTCAATCCTGACCAACCCATCTGGCATCCCGGAACAGGCTACCCAAGCAGTGACAGGAACAAGTACCATTGATGGCTCTTCCTAGCCCAAAAATGGGATGCTAACCAAAGAATGACAGCTGCCAGAGGATTCCTTCATCCCTTCAGAAGAGCTACGTTTATGAAACTGATCGATTGGTTCTCTGCAAGAAGCTTATAGAAGAAGCATCTTCTGTGCTGACTTTTCTCCAAAATTTCTCTAACTCAAAACCATCTGGCCCAGCCTTCTCTCCCAATCTGGCCAATGAAACAGAAGTGATTAAACTATAAAATCTGTGTGATCTGTTTATTTTCTCTTGGTGGGCTTAGTTGACACCTTCCAGTTTATACATTAGTCATTCATATAGGTGATGGATCTTCAGTCCTCTATAGTACTTTTTCTGGCTTCAGTTAATTTTAAGTCTTAGAATTACTGTAGATCCACTTTGGAAGTCCAACAGGAAACAGAGGTGGCAATGTGGCATCTTTTAGGCTTTGTCAAGTTATGTGGTTCAGGTGCATAACTTTAAAAAGTACAGGTACATCCCTTTAAAAAAAGAGTTATATTTGGGAAGGGAGTCATGCTTTAGTTCCTGTTTACTACATCGTCATTACTGCTCGTCTTTACTGAGAGGAGACAGTTACAACTTCAGTTATGTTTTACCCTCTTCCCATTTTCCAAGAATATACATAGCTCCAGAGCCAAGCTTACAATGTTTAAGTAAGTCTGTCTATGTGTACATAGTTTTTCAGCAGACAGGTCTTCCCATGCTCAGAGGAAATTAAAAGCATAAAACAATGTCAGTTCAGACTAGTAATCCATTTCATCCACAATTTTGTTTTCAGCAGTGGCCGGTCTAATGTATCTTAAGAAGCCAATTAAACAGGATACAAAAAGCGATGTGTTTATAGAAGAGAATACTTGCAGGTCAGAGTTGAACTTTGGTTTGTTGGTGCTCTCTGAACTTGGTTGTTTTCTTGCAGATGTTTCACTGCACTTCACTGATCTTTGATAATGAAATATCTGCAAGAAATCAACCAAGCTTAGAGAGCACCAAGGACCCATAGTGATGTATTTATTACTTTCCCCTTCTGCTTGATCTTAGTATCTGTGATTCAGAGGAATATTACTTCTGCAGTAGGGGTCCTATTTGAAATACAACTGGCAGTATGACTGGGGTGTCACAGTAAGGTCCATCTTATCTAACTTTTCTAATGAAGGCTAAACAGGATCTTTTTTTTTTAAAGTGAACATTTTTTAAAATTTTACAAAAACAAAACAATTTTCCCCCAAACCTCCCCAACCCTCCCATTCCCTCCCCCGACCTTCCCAGAGCTGAATATAGGCTTAATTAAAGTTTCTTCAAAAAATCTTAAAAAAGATATAAACCATAAATAAATCTAAATACATTACTTAAGAAAATTATAAGATAATTAACAATAGTGTGTATATAAAAAACATAAATACAAAAAATAAATGTTTAGAAAAGAAAAAATAAAGAAAAGGAAAAAAGAAGAAAGATAAAAAATATTAAATTTTAAATATAAGTTATTAAAAAACTAAATAATATTTTTTTATATCCAACTTATGTTGTATAAAATCTATCCATTGTTTCCATACCGCAACATACTTCTCTTGCGATTGATCCTTCAAGAAAGCCGAAATCTTTGCCATTTCCGCCAAATAAGAAACTTTAAGAAACCACTCTTGCAAAGTATGCAAAGATTCCTTCTTCCAACATTGCCCTACTAACAATCTTGCGGCTGTAATTAAATTTAACATCAATGTAATCTCTTTGGTATCACAATCAGTAACAATACCTAACAAAAACAATTGTGAGGTAAATTTTACCCTCCTTCTAAAAATTCTTTGAATATTCCACCATATCTTAATCCAAAAGGCTTTTATATTTTTACACGACCACCAGATATGATAGTAAGTAGCATCCAAACATCCACATCTCCAACATTTAGGCTGTAAGTCAGGATACATACGAGACATTTTTTGTGGATCAAGGTGCCATCTATAAAAATTTTATAAAAGTTCTCCCTTAAGTTCTGGGCTTGTGTAAATTTGACATTCCTCACCCAAATAGTTTCCCAGGTATCTAATAAAACTGGTTCACCAAAGCTTTGTGCCCATTTAACCATACATTCTTTAACTAATTCCACTTCTGAATCAACAGGATCTTTTGAAAGATTACCAGCCAGAATAAAAGCAAAAAATTCCTTTTGTGGTTATATTTCTCAATATTGTCCAGCTAGCAGAAAAGCTAAGGCCCAGGTACTAGTCACACAACACTTTCAGATCAACATCTGGAATAGTACCAATAGTCCAGGAAAGCCACTTTTTTCAGTAAACTTCGCAACATATCCAAGGGAAGGGCCACTAAATAAAAAGATGCCATACTGTGGAAGAGCAGGCTGCTAGAGAAAATTGCAGGCCCTTGTGCTCTTTCCTCTCCCTCTCAATTGTTTCTTTCCTCCAGCATCAACATGGCTGAGTTGTCAACAATATAACCTTGGTACTTGACATTAACAGGACATAAAAGGAGCCCCAAACTGGGCGTCCCCTGGGCAACCGTGATGTCATCGGCTAATCCTTTGGTCCCAGAAGTGCCTCAGTGCTTCTTACACAGAAGTAGTACTTTGACACTATAGGGTAGAAGAGATACTGTTTTTGGAACTCTGTGGCCACCAGCTTTCAGTGTAGTGCATTTTCAGAGTATATGGCATAATAAATTTATTGGTGTTTATGGTGGCAAAGTCTCTTGGTGATTTTAGTTCCAATACACTAGGACTGTCAACCAGTTCTAGAAAACAATTTCAAGAAATTCCAATAATGTGGAACCACAAGCCCAAATATAGCTACTGTAGGGTCTTGTTTTGCTCTGGTGCATGCAATAAAATAAATCTGATACCAGAATACTTCATAAAACTGGTTTCACATTGCGCTAAGCCAGTGGTTCTCAACCTTTTTAATGTCGCGACCCCCAACCGGTCGTAAGCTGAGGACTACTCAACCGGTCGTAAGTCGAGGACTACTCAACTGGTGCAGCACCGTTTGCAGAATGGGACTTTTGGTGGGCTCAGCAGGGCAGAGTCAGCCTGGACAATTCCTATTGGCTTTTTGAAAGCCAATAGGATTAGACTCTATTCAAGAAAGTCTATTCTATTGGCTTTCATAAGCCAGTAGAATAAAAGGGAGTAGCACAGCTAAAGAAAAGGGGGGGGGGGAAATGGCGGACTGTGTTGTTTGGCGACCCCCATGAAATGGTCGTTCGACCCCAAATGGGGTCCCGACCCACAGGTTGAGAACCACTGCGCTAAGCCAACCTTTTGTTTAATTTCTTAGCACAGGAGCCATATGCAGGAATTTCAGTCATGTATGCAGTTCCTAAAACATTGCTAGATCATACCATCAAAATTAGATAACAAGCTCATCAGTTTTTGACATTGATATTACATTTTTTTTCAGTTAAAGGTATACAGTAAAAGCCTTTCCAAGGATTTACATACCCTGCTTTATACACCCATCCCCTCAGCTAAACTACAGTCTACTTTTTAGTAAGTAATAATGTACTTAAGTTGTCCATGGGGTCGCGATGGGTCGGACACGACTTCGCAATTAACAACAACAACAATGTACTTAAGTGTAAAGGCACAAGATAAAAAGAAAAGGAAATTAAATCTAGTTTACACTGGCACCGTTCATGACACTTCTCCATACCCTTACATCGTGATAAACCATCTTTGCTTCCATTATTTTCATGTATCACTTCATACATGTTTTTTCATTATAGTTTTTACTTCTCTTCTAGAGGCTTTCTTCAAGTACATCTTTCTCAGTCTTTGCCTCAATCCATTTCTTTCTAGAGAAGTTTATTTTACAATCTAATCCTCATTCATTCTCTCCATACTGCATAAACAAAATATATTCCCATGCTTATTTCATCCTGATAATATATTCCTGTATTCAGTCCAAATTCATTTTGTACTTTCCTGTTTTATCACACACAATTCTTAAATATCCTGTAGCCATTGTATCTAATATATTCGTTCAATTTCTCCTGACAAACATAACTCCCACTTTATTAAAAAAAATGGCAGAAATGCACTCACATACAGCTATGTTTGTTTCTTTTGACAAACATTCATTCAGTACAACAGACTACATACCACCCATTACTTTCTCTTTGCATTTGTTTGCTTTTACCTCCATCTTCCATCATTAGTAAACACTCTACTAAGAGTGCAAATTCATTTTTTTTCTTTTTTGGCTTTTATGTGTTGTCTTGCAATACAGTAATTTGCTCCATTTTCTCTGTCAAACACAACTACTTGGAGCTTTGGCACATTAATTCTCAGATTCCGGCTTCTTATTGCATCATGCACTTTAACATTCACTGCAAATCATATGGGCTCTTGCCAATCACAGAACATCACTGGCACTCTAAAGTACACATGCATTCACATCTCTAATCAACATACCACCTACCCGATATACCATCACCTAAGAGCTGTGGGGGCACAATGGTTAGAATGTTGTATTGCAGGCTAACTGCATTCCACTACCAGGAGTTTGATCCTGACTGACTAAGGGATGACTCAGCCTTCCATCCTTCCAAGGTTGGTAAAATGAGGACCCAGATTGTTGGGGGCAATATGCTGATTCTGTAAACCGCTTAGAGAGGGCTGTAAATCATTATGAAGCTGTATATTAGTCTAAGTGCTATTGCTATTGTTACCAGAATCCAGTTTATATTTTTATCCATAAATACATTAAGGAGACATCATACACCCTTGCCTTACTTACTCCTTGCTCAATGCTAAACCATTCATTATACATTCAATTTCTTTACTTTCATCACATATTATTACTCCTACTTCATTCAGCAACCAAATTTCAAAATGTTTGGTAATTCAAGGCCTCTCAGTTTGAGTACACTCTAAATCAACAAATGTAAAATAAACCACATAATTGCATAATTTTGAAGATATAATAATGCGTATATCATTTTGACACCACTGCCGGCTTGTTACAGGTGCCTATGTTAATCTCTTGTTAGTTTATATTCAACCAGAGATGGATAAATGACCCTGCAAATAGAAATTGCTCTTTTTTCTTCAATCCTTCCCCCACAACTTTGGGGTAAAGGTCAAGTGTTTGTAAAAGAAGAGAAATCTAGTCTTATCATTTAACCTTGACTGAAAAGAACCAAAACTCCCTTATTTAGTTTTCAATGTTCTTGTATTCATACACTTACAGACTCAGGATTTGTTCCCTGAAGCACATG